CTCACTTCCGAGAGAGAGGTATATAGATATAGATATAGATATAGATATAGATATATATATATATATATGTGTGTGTGTGTGTGTGTGTGTGTATGTATATATATATATAATAAAGACAAAAAGGAAAAAAAAGAGATTAATGAAGAAAAATAATACATAATAAATTTTACTTATAGCGCATAAACTGAAAGTATATAGAACTTAGGAAATAAGTTAAAAATATAGAGGAAAGAAAGATCACTTATATTTTGACATTAACTTTCAAGACCCCATTTTCAATAAGTTAATATTTCAAAATATTTTTGAAAAACTACAAATTTATTTCCATTAAAAGATCTTAGCAAACTTAAAAGCTATAAATATATTAAAAGTTTTGGTAGAACTATTTTTAATTATAATGATATATGCAAAAATTTAGGGAAAATTAATATATTCGATTATGAACATCAATGTGAAGAAGAGAAATATTTTGAATTTGTAAAAAAACATCATAAGCAGATTATTATTGGTAATTTGAATGTTATAGAAAACTTAGAACTAAGAAATTTGATGCTAAAAGGCACAAAATTTAGACAATTAATAAATATCAATCAATAAAATTCTCAAATGCTTTCTTAATGATCTCAATAATTTTTGTTTAAAGATATCAAAAAGCTTCTCTTTACCTTTAGGTAAGCTAACAAAATGGAAATAAGCTGTTTATTACTACTTTAAAAACTTTGCTTTCAATAATAAGGAAAATTTAAATAAGAGTTACAATTCAACAAATTTTTGTAAAATTGATCAATCAATTAAGCAACTACAAAAAATATTCTAATTACCATAATAGATAAAGCTAACAATAATTATGCAATCTTCTGTAAAAAAATTATGTTAAACTTTTAAATAAGGAGTTAAAAATTAGTAAAAATTTTAAGCCGAGTAATTTGAATAATAATATCATTAAAAAATTCTAGCACTATAAAAGAGTTTAAAAATTAAAATAAATTACATACAATTTACATTCTTAATATTATCAGTGCAAAATTTCATAAAATTCCTATTTAATTCAGAACAATCACTTGTGGGTCTAATGCTTACCTAACTAAACCTGGCACCATTTTCTCTATTTTAACAATATTTAAAAAAAGTTTTTCTCAGATTATCACCAATAAACAACCTATTTTAGAATTTATTAAACAAAATAAAATTAATTCTATAGTGACTTGATTTCCAGGATCTTTCCAATGGTATTCTCCTTTCTAAACTAAAAGATGTTTTTATGAGTTTTTGCTATGATTATAAAAATATCCTGAATTGCGATTCTGATTATTGACAAATTCTAATTAATTTTTGTCTTCTTAATAATTATCTTAAAATGGAAAGCATATTTTTGTTCAACTTGATGAAATATCACAGGGATCAAATTTTTCAACTCTCTTAGCTAACTTATTTTGACACTATTATGAAAAATTATACTCTTAATATTAAATTTGTTTTTAGATTTATTGATGATTTAGTTATCTTTAATTTTTAAAATTATACGATTTTGTTGAACAATATTTACCACAAGGAATTATTCTTGCTTCATAATCATGATGTTTATATTAATTTTAATGTTTTGTATTTAGGTATCAAAAAAAGAAGAAATTATTATTATACAATGAAAGAAATGATTTTAAATTTAATATAAATAAACTAATCGCATGGAATTCGTTTCTCATTTAAATACTATCTTTTATCAAAGGAATAGAATTAAAAGAATATGTAGCAATGTTTATGTATCCAAACAAAGAAATAAACTCTTCCAAAATTTGATAAAAAACAATGGGTATCGAACTTATGTTATGAAATTCTACATAAAATCATTGAGTTAATTGTATGTTATAATTATTAATAAATTTATTAAAATTTCCTTGTAACTAAATTTATATTTTTACCGCGTCCATATCCAATTTGAGCAAATTGGTAGCTAAAAATATTTAAAAATTATATGCATATACATATCTTACTTTTAGTTTTGTTCAGCAGTATTGACCAATTAAGAATCGGAAAATTTTAAAATCCCTAGCAAGATATTAACTGTAAGCCTGTATGATTTTGAAAAATAAAATTGTTCATAAGTAAAATAATACTACATAATAAATATCTATATGCCAATAAAATGTATTTAATTAAAATATTTAAGAACAAGAACATACATACCTTTGACCAAATTTGGTTTTCAAAATTCGTCTGAAATCTCTAACCAATTCAACAAAACCTTCATCGTTTGAAAGCTTCCGTGTAATATAGTTGTTATTTAATAAATCTAACTTTCTAAAATCTACAATACAGGAATTTTTATTCACTTGGTCCAAGTTGAACTGAAATGAGAAATAAGCATATATTTATACATATGTATATATCTACTTAATTAAGCCTCAAACATATACTTAAAATTGCTTTCAAAAGTTGATGGTAACTTTTTATAAATATGTCAGAAACATTAACTTTAATTGAACCTATAGTTTCAAAATGTACAGCTAAAAGTTTTTATAAACAAACCTTAATAATCCAAAGAAACATAATAGTACTATACATTAATTTAATTTTAATATGATCATTTAATGAACATCTTTTTTTGTCTAATAGGTATAAAGGTATATTATTTTAAAATTCACTCGCACTATTGCCCCATGCACAATGCTGATCACATTAACACAATCATGCCATCAATCACAAAATTGTGGAGCCTTAATCTCTGATCCTCTAGGCTGAAAATAGGCTGTTGCAGAAATGCTTTATTTTACTATACTACTCCATATAGTTGTACTTCACTTTTCTAACTCTTCTTTATTTTAATAAATATTCGTTCAAAACCACACATTTACGTTCTTTGGCAAGCTTTCTTCCCATTCCAATCATATTACAATAATATATTTTTCTTGAATAGGTAACATAAATGGCTTCCATTTAATAAAAATAGAAGTCTTGGTAGTGAAGCTAAGGTACACAAATAATAATGAATAAAATGAACCAGTGAATTTTTAACTTTCAGATTTCTATTGCTAATAAAACATTTATTTGTACTCACATAAAATGATAAATTCTATGCAGTCACTCAGAAAACACTAATAATGTAATAATTTTGTCACACATAAATCAATATTTATTTTCATTAAAAATTAATCAATTCCTTATTCTGGAAAGCTAACTAGATCACTTTGAAAATGGATTATGTTTAATATAAATTTTACATTACTATTACTACACTATACATAAATGCTCATTATATAACCCAAAATTATATTACTGAAGATTTCTAAAATCTGCAACCCTTAAACGTTTCATCCTCTAAAAGGTGAACAGATTTTTGAATATTAACTGAAGAATAAAGTTAAATATTAAAAAAAAAAAAAAAAAAAAAAAAAAAAAAAAAAAAAAAAAAAAAAAANAAAAAAAAATGAATGCTTAAAAATTTTTAATTATTGTCAGAAAATAGTAATACAATACATTTTTACACATATAATACTTTTAACTCTTGAACAATAAACTATACAAATTTTCGAGAATTTGTTGCATATAATTTTGCATTTAAGGATTCAAAATCATTGCCATTAACAAATTTGCACATTGGCAAAAAGTTCTTAAATATATTAATAAATCAGTTTCCATGCAACAATTTCCATCAGTTTATATAATGCATGCAGATTCCATAAATCAGTTGCAGATAACAGTGGCATGTTTATTCAAATTTGGTTTTATAGTTTCATTCACAAACAATTAGTTTTCTTCTTTACTATATAAGGTAAGGTTGAAAGACAAGGAATTTATATTAAATGAAATAAAATTAAGAAGCGAGAAGATATTTAAAAAACATTTTAATAAATAAATATTATAAAGCAAAGCGTTCGATTTTTTTTATATAAACTGTTGCCACCTTCTTTTATATGAATATTACACTTTTCTACACTGTGATAAAATTAAACTTATGCAAACCTTACAACCCGATGATACAAAACATCTGAAAATAGTGTTTTAAAATGTAGAAGAATTCAAATTTCATGGTTCTATTCCAGTATTTTAAAATAAATAGTCAAAAGTAAAATCAGGGTGGCCACTCAAATCAGATTTCAAATTTCCCTGATTTTTCCAGGTTTTCCAGATAAAAATCTTAAAATTTCCAGGTTTTCGTTTCTTTTTTCTTATTAAGTGTAGGATGTGTACAAGAAAAATGTCTATATTATAAAATATTTTATTCAAAATGTTATTTTGACAATTTGGCAAGATTTTTTATTTATTTTTCAAATGTTTTGGTACAAAATATTGACCAACAAAAGAGTAAAATTAAATATTAATATATAGTTGGTTCTTAAAAAAACCATTTTTTAAAAATATGTTATAAAAGGTTAAAATGAAATAGAAAAAATTAGCATTAATGCAACAATTGTAACGATTTATCGACAAACATTGCTGTCAGCGATGGTAAAAAAATGTGTGATTGGTTGGCTTGCTGAGAAAAAATAATTCACAGATTTCCTTGAATGGGAGTAGAAAAAATTTCAGAAAAAGAGTGCAATATAAAATCTATTATCAAATTATAACCAACTAATTTTTGGAGAATTTTATAAAGTTAAAAATACAAAAACATTTTGTCAAAATAGAAAAAAAAATTACCACCAAAGCATCGGAACAAACTTGAGCCATAAATGGATTCAGCCCAAGGACAGAATTTAAAAACAGAAGCTAATATCCTAATCCCTTTTTCCACCTCCACCAGAATCTTTCCTAAATTGCACAGTCCCATAGCGGTCAAAGGTTTCTACATTCGTTTAGCAACCGTGGGAGAATTTTATGTGGCATTCTAGTTTAACAGAGCTGTAATGGAGCAAATTTTGATGCAAGCAAAGTATCGCTAAGTTGATGATATTTCAACTGTTTGGCGATACATTTCCGTTTAAAAAAAGTGGGTATAATGGATGAAATAATTTAAATTAAGAAAATTAGTAAATAATTTAAATTAGTGAAATTAAAAAAATTATCAAAGAAAAATTTCCAGCTTTTCTTTAAAATTCCCTGATTTTTCCAGGTTTTTATCCAAATTTCCCTGATATTTCCAGGTTTTGTCCAGTATAAAAAAATTCCCTGATAATTCCAGGTTTTCCAGGTGGGTGGCCACCCTGAAAATACATGTTTATTATTTTTTTCAAAAAATAAATTTTTAAAAATGAAACTGTTGTCACAATAAGCAAATTATTATCATTTTATATGGTTTAAAATATGATTAATATACAGAATATTAATCATATTAATAGAATTTAATATTTGTAAAACTCCTTTGTAAAAGTGTAATATTAAATATTTAGCCATAATTTTTAATCTTTGTAAAACTGTTTAATATCATGAAAAAATACAGAATTAAGAAAAACACATATTAAGAGCTTTATAACTAAATGTTAAAATATATTAAACAAAAATCATTACTAAAATTGATCATTTTTAATAGTTAGAATTGTAACTTTCAAAAAGATTTCAAGTGAAGAATTTTCGTTGAATATTAAAATAAAATTTACTAACTTTAGAACATAGTGTTTCAAGATCATAAGCAATGCATCCTTCTTGTTTACCAAATCCGCCACCAGCAATGGCAAGGAAATTCAATAAAGCTTCAGGAAAATATCCTTTATTCTAAAAGTTAATTAAAACTTTAAACTAAAGCTAATTTGTTCACAGTTAAAACTTAGAAAAATACTAAACTAAATTTTGATTTATTTCAAAATATTGATTGATTTTAAAAGACATAGTTTTATTTTATCAAACTATTTTGTCATTTTTTATTAGGCATAAAATAATTCTTAGCAATAGAATTGCTAAATAATTTTACTTGACTATAATTATTTTTTAGGTTCTTCATTGTAAGTGGTTATTCATTAGTTCTCCATTGTTCGTTTATTTTTTTAAATATTTGATTTTAATAATTTTCTTCTTCTCTTTTCATTAATATTAGATTATTTTCCTTAATTTTCTCTCTTTTCTTTTTATCCTTTTTGTCTTTATTGTGCTATATATGTATATATATATATATATATATACATTACTCATTCAGTTTTTGCTAAGCAAGATTTTTTAGACAAAAAATATTTTTAACAAAACACAGCATCTTGAATAAAAAAATGTTTTAAAATGTTAAGATGGAAGTAGCGTAGGGAGTGATGGTACAAAAGTTGGAACTTGCTACACTGGCCAAATTGCTCATACAAATCTCAACCAATTGGCAATGTTTTTGTTTTTGTTCTTTTTTTTTTAAAACAGATATTTGATATGATTTATATTTGACTGTTTCATCAGCAAGGTAATATATACAGCTTAAAAATTGTACAAATATATAGCTCAAATCATAAATACTTAATTTGATTGACGTAAAAATATTAAACAAAAGTGATAAAAATTACAAAATAAATAATTAAATAAAAATTAAGAATCCAGCAAAAAAGTTTTACATTTACCTTAAAATAATCTATTCCAATTGCTTCTTGCCTTTTAGAGAGTTTAGTTCGATCACTGCAAAATATTTATAACTTTTTATTGAAATAATAAATTAAAAAATACATTGGAATGAGAAAACAAGACACAACCTGAAAAAAGGTTTTCGTATAATACAAAAAAGAAATGTATTAAGCACATTAGCATAAGGTAGATTAATATTGGAAGATGAATAATAAGTTTCAATGCAAAATTACATTTCTTGAAAAATTTGCAAAAAATGTTACTTTCTTTTTAAATATTTGTTTTACTAATTTGATGACTGTTATTGGAATAGAATAACTGTCCTCAGTAAGTAGCATAGTTTCAGTCAGAGCTGAAATGTATCTATAGAATAATTACATAAATTGAAACAGTTATGGTGACTATTAGCTATAACTTTTTTTTTAATGGAAAAAAAGAAACTTTTTGTTTTACGTTAAAACATCTATATGAAATAAAAGATCACAAGAACAAATAAGAGGTCAGACTCTTTTTAAAATAAGAAAGAGAGAAAATAAGATTAAATTACAAAAATTTAATATTTAGATACATTATATTTAACTTAAATGAAAAAATATTTTGTAAGGGAATTTAACATTTTTCTTCTTCTTACAAGTTATATTTTGTTTAATTTATGACTATCTATAACTTCAAAATTAAGAGATCTATGGCATTCAAATTACTTCTAACTTTGCACCCAATATAGAAGACCTTAATTTCTGAGCCCAATGCATGAATAAACTTCCCCGTTAATGCATTTACAATGCTTAATATCTCAAATACTATTAATTTCAGAGATCTGTGTACATTAAATTATCAAGGTCCAACCCCTATAGAATTTGTGAGAAATCTTTTATTAGATTAACCCTATTCTAATACAACATTTGTCAAATAAATATACCTGTTTGTCAACAAAGGAAGATGAGCATATTTTGGTGGAGTCCATCCAAAGGCATTATAAAGCATGATGTGTTTTGGAGTAGAAATCAGCCATTCAGTTCCACGCAAAACATGGCTTACATACATTAAATGGTCATCAACAACGCATGCAAAATGGTAAGTAGGAAAACCATCACTTTTTAATATAACCTGCAATAATATAAAAATTCAACTCAATACAGCACATAGTAAAATTTAAGAGCATTATAAATTTAAAAAAATAAATACTTAGTAAATAATATAATTTACTAAGTTCAGTAAACAAATTTTTCTTAAATAAATAAAAAGCATAGAATCCTTGCTTTATTATAGCAACCTTTATAAAGGTTGATAAAAATATATGCTATAAATCAAAAAGAGTCATATTTTTTTATTATAACCAATTTTTATAGTATTTGATATAAAACTTCACTTTGATAACTAGGGCAGTTTGCTGCATTAACTGTGAAGATATTAGTGATACTCTAATTGCAAAATCTTCAGAAAAGAGCTTTTTTAGGACATATTTAATAACTAAATTTTTATGAGCCAATGTTTTAATAATAGAACATGGATTTTGAATTTAACCAACAATTAAAGTCCAAATAATATTTTTTACATACATAAATCTTGCATTATGAAATATTTTTTTCTCTAAGTTTGATTTCGTTTTCATAATTATCTAATTTTTTAAGAATTTTGATATATTGTGCTAATTTTTACCCAGCTTGTAATATAATTTACCAATAAACCATTTTTATAGAATATCTTTATATTTTTCACATAATTTCTATATATATACGTTACTTAAAGAAAACAAATATTTATTTTTTTGAAAAATTTTAAATAGATAAAACTTTGTTGAAAAAAACGCGCTAAAAAGCAGTAAAAATTTAAAAAAAGAATAAATGCAGCAATAAAGGAAACAAATGAAATAAAAATATGACCACCGAAGCCGACGTCTTCAGGGGATACCGGCCCCGGTAGCCATAAAACAAAACCTTTTCTCTTGAGGGAGAAGCAAATGCCTAAAGTAACTCTCTCAGTACCCAGAAGGTTTTGTATAGAAGTCCAAGTTTTTATTTTCTGATGATTTTGTTTGAGTTTCTTTTCTAAATTGGTTCCTTGTATTTCATGTTTTTTCCTGGACTTCTATACAAAACCTTTGGGGTACTGAGAGAGTTACTTTAAGCATTTGCTTCTCCCTCAATAGAAAAGGTTTTGTTTTATGGCTACCGGGTTCGGTAACCCCTGAAGACGTCGGCTTCGGGGGTATTATTTTTGTTTCCTTTATTGCTGCATATATATATGCGTCTTATAATCTATATAAGACAATTACAATATTTGCAAACCTTTAATTGTCTGTTAGGCACTAAACTTGAAATTTTATTTAAAGGTAAACATTAGTTCAAAATTAATTGTTCCCTTTTTGGAATATTGTAATTTTAAGAGTTCTATGCTCTATTTTTAGAATTTTTGTGATTCATTCTGTTGCCTGCCTTTCATCAAATTGCAATTACGTCACTCATTAAGAAAAAATAATGCGTTGAAAAATAAAAAAAGGGGGATGAAGTGTTGAACTTATGTTGAATTTGCAAGTGGCTAATAACAGAGAAATACAGGCAGAGGTATCTCTATACTTAGAAATTCATTAGGTATGCATTCATTTATTACCAATATTTTTCTCTTTTGTTAAAATTTCAACCAATGAAAAAGAAATTCTTCCTGATAAAGCAATGGCTTTCAGGAGGGGGTAACACTTTTTCTTGTGTTTTTCGACAATGATAGAGCTGAAATTCAAGATCAATAGGGTTTATCAATGTGTTCCCAACAATTGTAATAAATAGTTTTCTGCTATTATTAGTTCTTCTTTCCTGATTCTTGTGATTTATATTAGTTCCAAGACACTTTTGTTGCTACTGAATGAATTAAAGAATAATGGTAATTTTTTTCTTCTTCGTCTCATCTACAAGTTTTTCTTGCTTTCGAATCCCATCGATGGCTGGATGATACAAATTCTGTATTTTTCAAACTACTCCTGGAGAATATTTTGTTAATTTAAGATCATTTTAAGTTTAATTAAAAGTGCTGATTATTAATACATAATTAAAATTGATTATGTACAATTTTCTGGCCTTCTTATGGGATACCATTCTAAATTCTGGCTAAAGGTCTGTACTGGAATGTAATTAAAGCAATTGTAAAAATTGTAGGAGAATTGTAAGTAAAAATTGCTCCTACCAAACGCCAATGTTCAAAACGCACTTAAAATTCCCCCTCTCAATTTCTTTATTTTATTGTCTTTAGATATTCTTTAATTGAGAACTTATCAAATTTCTCAATATTTGGATGATTTTTTCTTAATTCGGCATTTCAATGTGGAATCTCTCTTTACACCCTGCATTTTTAGAGTTTTTAATATCTTGCTTTTTTTATTAAACATAGCAGCATGCGAAGAAATTTTTATACATTTAATGTAATACAATTTTTGAGAAATACATAAAATCTCTTATATTTCCTAAGTAAAAAAAAAGAAAAGAAATTTATGAATCACTTACAAAGTCTCCTTCATTTTCAGAAACACTATGGGTATGGGTACCAAATATAATGTCATTATGAGATACTGGTTCCTCGGGAATCTGAAAAATATAAAAGATAAAATAATGAAATAATAAGCTAACCAAAAGAAAAAGAATTAATAGAATATAAAAGGGTTAGGATAATATAACGATAATTAATTGTATTATACTATGATTAAAAATTTCTTTAAAAAATTGGAAATTTTTTTATTATTATTTAAAAAAAATTTCGGTTTTAAAAAACACAATAAGATTATAGCAAAAAGGCAAAATACTTGTTTTATTTAAAATAAAATTACTTGCAAATGTCTACAAATTATTAAAATTGTTGCTAATTAACAGACACAGTATATAATACAAATAATGAACTAATTGTTAAATGTAAAGATATATAAGACGTAATCTTACTTTGAATCGAATTGTGTATGGAATTCCTTCATTTAACAGTGTTTGAATTTCAGACTCTTTTAAGTGTCTACACTTATTATCATATCCTCGGCTTTCATTTCTTTGTAATGCATCTTTTTTCATAATATTCAGTCTTGTTTCTGAACAAAAACATCTATATGCTGCATTTGACTAAAATTACATTAATTCAATAAGAATAAAGTCAGCCTAATTATAAGAACAATACAAAAAAACATTAGATTAAAAAAATGACCTCTTATTATTTTTATAACACTGCCCTTTTAATATTTAAAAATAAAGTATTAAACATTCAAAAACTTTTATTAATGAGTGTATGAGAGTTGCTACAATCAGGTTTGGCATTTTGTCAGGATAAAACCCATTTCTTTCATGACACAGAAAGAGACTGTAAGAAACCTATTTCTTTCATGACACTGAAAGAGACTGGAAGAAACCTATTTCTTCCATGATACTGAAAGAGATTGGAAGAACCTATTTCTTCCATGAGACTGAAAGAAACCTATTTCTTCCATGACACAGAAAGAGACTGGAAGAAACCTATTTCTTCCATGACTCTGAAAGAGATTGGAAGAACCTATTTCTTCCATGACACTGAAAGAGACGGGGGAAAAAACCAGAAGAAACTGGACAAAATGGAAGCAATTAAATATAATTGATACAATTACATAGCAATCAATGTTATAAAAACAGCTTGAATTAAAAAATGTTCTATTTATTACAATTTCAGAATGTTAAAAGTTTATCATAATTTAAAAAAAAAAAAAAAAAAACGATTTACCTATTATCTATTTTATTTTTAAGTAGTATTTTACAAACTTCATATAATATTATTTAAGAGTTAGTTTGAGTATTCATATTTTTTTTTACAGTATTTGATAATAAAAACTAGAATGCTATTAGTAATCATAAATTTAATAAGTAATTTGTAGTAGTGTATATGTTTTGAATGTGATTTGTCAATTTAGTAACACCAATAAAAATTGATTATGATTGTATTGTATTTTTTTATGTGATTATAAAATTAGGTTTTACTTTACTCATGTATGTAAATTATTTTTCCTGCCAATTGTTTCATTTTCGTTTTCACTTCATTAAAAATTATATAATTAATAGTTTAGAAACTAATATCATTATTTAAACTAGATTACAATTATAAATTATTTAACAAATTATTTTAATATTTAAAACTGCTGTTTGAAAAAGATCTTCTATTTATTCCACTTGAGTTGGCAGTAACCAATTTCTCACAGAGTGTTTTGAGGGATGAAAATTCAATCATACACAGAAAAAACACAAGTCAACATTTTTACTTCAATATTTGAATTTTTGATTGCATTTTTTATTTATTATGGGGCCTCAGGCCACAGACAGTGTTTGGTTTAACCACTGGCTACAGTGCAGACAGTGTGTCCCCTGATGAAGTACTGTTTTTGCTAACATATATATCTTTAGAATTTTGTTTTTGCTCCTTTTTGGTTACCAACTTTTTATTAAAATTGTTTACCTAAATTTGGTTTTAGCTGCTTTACCATTTTGGCTTATTATTTTAAAGCTTTTTTTTTCGCAAAATTTGCTTAAATCAATTCCATACTTTGATCGGAATCACCAGAGAAGTTACAATTACCAGTGTCCACTGGAAAAAATTTGTGTATGTGTAAGACAGAGCAAGGTATAATTTTTCAGTGAGATTACTAATTTATTTATTCCTTGCAATTATAAAAATAATTGAGAATGTAATGAAAAATATAAATTTATCTTATAATTAAAAGGAAAAAAGCAGAGCAAATTATACATAATTTATGCATATGCTTAAAAATATAATTAAAATTAATTTTATAACACAAAAAATTATATTCAGATAATAATTTTATTCTAATTAGGTGCTTTATTTTTGAATTTATATTTGTTTTTGCTTTGTTTGAACTTTCCTTGCCTTTTCAATTCCGTTAGTCTTATGTAATTAATACTAAAAAAAACTTTAGTTTGTGAAGTTTCAAATTGATTGAAAAAAAAATCTTTATAATTTTTTTTAAATAAGTATTTATTGTTATAAAATCAATTGAAAACATGAAATAAAAATCAGTGCAAAATAGAAAAGAAACAAAGTAAAAATATCACCTTCAACAAGTCTTCAATTTTTTCCTTGTATATTCTCAACCTTTCAGACTACACAAAATGGAAAATATAATAAATGTATTGAAATTAAAAAGCTTTCTTATATCACATTTTTAAACATACTGAATTCACAGAGAAAATATATTTAAAAATACAGACATTTAGGATTTTTATCTCATGTGTTGATTTTAAAATTAAATAACAATATAGCTATTATAATATATATTTTTTTTTAATAAACTGATTTTTTTTAATTTATTTTTTTAATAATATAAAACCAGGCCTTTATATTATTAACCTTTGAAAATATAAAACTAGGATTAACATTTAAAATTTATATTTCTAAAAGGAAAAGAATATATGCTCATTTAGTTAGCATGTAAAAAGGTAACCAATTCAGCTATTAAAATGGCAACTTAATGGAAGAAAATACATGAATACGATTACAAATTAATCTTTTGTTTATTTCTTCAAAAATCCTTTATAGATACAGTTCATAAAAAAATATGAAATGATGATAGCTAAAGTCAGTACACTCTTCCCAGATTATTGTAAGCTTTTGAACCCATAATAATGGTAATTAGAATTAATATAAACACATTCACATACCTGTACATATGGTCCATATGATCCACCTTTAGAGGGGCTCTCATCTGGAATAAGCCCAGTCCATTTAAGCATTTCATTTAAATTTTCAACTGAACCTGGTTTTATTCTTTTCTGAAAAAGTAATTTTAGTTGAAGTTAACTAACTACTAGTCACAGTGTTTTCACTACAGAAAAAAAAATGAGAGAGAATTTCTCACCCTTTCTCAAAAACAGGGTGAGATCTCAAAAAGTTAAGTGAGATTTTTAAAAATTAAAAAAACGCGAATAGACTTGGAAAACAATATTTCTTTAATTATAATACATTTTTAACATCTTCTAATTTTTAAAGCATTGAATATTTTTGTTGCATCATGATATGGAAAACGTTCTATATCTACTTTTTCATCAGCTTTTCCCATTAGGTTGCTCAAATGTTTATCAGTCATCTGTATACGATATTTTGTCTTATTTCGGTTTTGAGTGCTAAATGACCTTGCAACAGATGCTGAACAATTCGGAATCACTAAGTAAATTTGTAACATTGAAAAAAATTTAAACGTCTTACATGAAGAAATCTTACCTTCGGTGAACATGTGGTTGCAGAAAAATGTGTTCCGTCATTCAGGGGGGAGGGGGCATAGTGTTCTGCTGTTCGCACCGGTTCTGAACAACACTGGTAAACAGGGAAGCTAGATAACAGGGATCGATGTTGAAAATAATGAAAGATCAAGGAAGAAAAGTGAAACGGATTTTATTCAAAATGGCAGAAGACGATTTTTTTTCCAAAATTCGCGCATTTTGAAATTGATTAATAGAGTGCGCAATCTTCTCGCTTTAATAATTTTTTAATGAGAGGAAAAAAAAAATAAGCGAGATTCTCGCGTTGTAGTGAAAATACTGAGTCATCATTTAAGAATGAAACCAATTTAAATATTTTCTACATTCAGTAAAATAAAATTATAGACATTTGTAGAATAATACCAAAACAATTTAATCGACTTAATATCTTAATTATTTTCAGAGTAACAAGTTTTGAATGGGATAAAAAATATAATTAATTTCTTAGCAGTAAATAAAATCTCATATTACTACAAAGTTAGTTGTTAGATAGCCTATACTAATAAGCATACAATTATAAGCTTTCACAGAATCATACCAAAATTTAAATAACTGAAATATACCTTAATTATTTGCTCAGGAACACATTTTTAATGATAAAAAAAAAAATATTTCTTTAGTAGTATATAAAATCTCGTATTACTACAGAATTCGCTGCTTATAATGCCATTCTAAAATCAAGTTTACACCTGATAGGTGTTTTTTTTTTTCAGACAGTTAAACCAATAAGTTTAGTTTTGGTCAAAATGGAAAAAAATACTGGAATAAATATATTTCAGAATAAGTATATACCATTAGCTATATTTTTTTGTTAGGATTTTTAGACCATTAAAATTCAAACAATAATAAATGTATTGACGCAATAATTGATTATTATCTTTTCAGGTGAGAGATAGATTTAATAATAGATAAGATAGATTTTAGGCAGAGGGAAGGAGTTATCAGAGCTGAGAGCTTGTAGAAAGTACTTCCCAATGGTTATCTGAAATAGCTAACAATACAATTTCATGCTTTTCACACATTCCTTCTATAATTACCAAATGTAAACAAATATTCTCAAGAAATTTGGCAGAAAAAATATTGGTACTTTTTGTTTAACTCAGTGCAAGGAAATTCAAAGATTTGTTTTAAAATTTTTTGGTACTTTTTCAGTTTGCAGCGAAAGTCAATCCAGTTATTATTATTTTTTTTCATAGATAAGATTCGTAACAAATATAAGTATTCTGAAAAAGTTTTAAGATGCTTTTTGTCATGATCGCTATGCCATACTATTATAAAAATTTTTTTTAGACAGAAATGGCATTTTGCAATATAGTAAATGTCAATGATAAGCGGCAGGCAATGAAAAAAAAAAAAATTACTGAATCACTCTGAAATGGAAGCAATATATAAAAATTCATATCACTACATATTTTAAATAAGTCTACAATGTACTTGATCAGTATCCTCAATTCTCAAAATGAATTTTCCTTTCATTTTTTTAGCAAATAAATAATTGAAGAAAGCAGTTCTAAGTCCTCCCAAATGCAAGCAACCAGTAGGGCTAGGTGCAAATCTAACACGTACATTAGACGAGAGAGAACTATAATGCCTGTAAGCATATAATAAATAGCGAATTGAAACCATATTAAATAAGAACAGATATTTTAATATAAAAGTTTCGATTTCCTCGTTTGTTTTTAAATTGCGATAGATACACCTTTTTCACGCTTATAACCTTTTATCTATTGAGATTTCTTTGATTGTTATTTCTAAAGATTTAATACTACGCTTTGTCTAACTTCTGCAAACTATATCACACATGCATATTTGGAAATACGAACGAGAACTTGATCAGCGAGTTTTTCGTGGGACAAATATTTCACCAATCAGAGCTTCATTCGCCTCCGTGAAGTTTTCGGGTACAGTGAGAACTGTAGTCTGATCTGAAACCATTTCATTAGCAAAAAGCTATAAGCTAATAAGTATATATTACAAGCAGTACTCAATATTTACACATCAACAACTCGGTGACAAACAAAACTTATTTTAAACTAAAATGGAAATAGAATTGTCTAATAAGTAAAACCTTTTAATATTATTTTTTTAATTATATAAATTTTTTCTAACTTTAAAAGCTGCAGCAAATTTTAGTAAACATTTCTTCTAAACTGTTAATAAGCTGGATATTTTTGAGTTGCTAACCTTTTCACAACTTTTTCATTTGACTGACGCATTTTTATTGTATTTTATGGGTTACTTCGTTCTTGACATATTGGAAATTTAATAAAATGGAAACGGCAGAATAATTCTTTTATGTTTTAATTTAATCTTATATCGCTTGGTCCAGCTCTAATATTTCATATCATTTGCTTCACTAAGCATAATCTGATTGACTTAAGATAGAAATTTTGGTGTAGGCTTCATATTTAAGTTTATTTCAGGGTTTTTATGAATTGCAAAGCTAGACTGAGTTTTTATGGACATACAAGCTGATTAATAAAACTGCGTTAATTTTTTTTTTCTAAAATTATTTGGAAGATATGTCTGGCTACTCATTTATTATAGCTCCTAACTTTATTTCTATCAAATTTCTTTACATAGAATGGGTTTTAATCTGTTGTGTTGTTGCTTATCCTCTTGGTTTAGGCTCCTAGATCAAGATAACAATCGCGTCGACAAGTTGTAAACAGTCATTAGCAAAATACAATACTTAATAACAAATTAAAATTTAAAACAAAATTTATTTGATATTGAATGAAGATTTTCTTTATCAGCATATTAGCACTGTCTTTCAAAAATAAAGTAAACAGTTAAATAAGTTTCTTCTAGTTTTTTAGCCTAACTTGAATTTTACAATGAAATTTTGTAAAATTGTTGTAAGTGTATCAAATGATTCCGATTTCTTATGATAAATTTATGGCAATACGTAGAATTTCTTTGGTGATTATTGGGGAAAGGGAAACTATTGGACTACTCAATCTAAACAGAATTTTTTTAGAATGATAAAAAGTGGAAAATGTTTTTATTTTTTAAAGTCAGTTGTTGATAAACATGCAGTGTATTAGATAATTTGATTTTAACAATGAAACGAAAACAATATTTGTATTGTTAAAAAGAACAATTAGGACAGTAATTGAACTTTGTCAATACTACTAAATGTCAAGAACTTACTAATTTACAATTTTTTTAATGGTTACTTAGTTAAAACATCAATATTTAAACATAAGTATCTTATCATTTATTTTTCGTTCTGTCTTGATTTTATCTATTAATGTCCATCTTAGTCTTAATTAACTTAGAGATAGTAATACTTAAAGATATTATTTCACTTTTTATTCTGCAAAATATCTGTTTTTCCTTTGGGTATTCAGTGAGATTCTGGGTATTCAAATATGAAAGGCTTGTTTAAATTAGACATATTTAATCAAATCTTATTCTAAGAAAAATTCATTTTGAGGAAATTCCAATGTAACAAAAAGTTATGTTTTATAATCAAATTTATTTCAACAATAAAATAAAAGCAATGTAGTACAATTTCTGATAATGGAAAACTAAATAGTTTTAACATAGTTTGAAATCAGCAACAAAGCCTTTGAATGAATAAATCTTTTAAATATTATTAGTTTTATACATTTTTAAAGCTTTACAATATATTTAATTGCCAATTATAAAAAAATTTCAGACTAATCTTTGAAAGTTGAATTTTACTGAAATTTGCTTTGTAAAACCTAGTGTATTATTAGAGTAAGATACTTTTGTTATATAGTACTTTCTCTTTCAATTAATTTTATAAACAACAAAATTTTGTAGACAATAGTAGAGTGCCAATTATCTGAACACCGATTTACCAGATTGTCTTATAATCCGGATCATTCAAGGACCATGTATTTTTCCCACCTTCTTCAAAATAAATAAAGTAATAGTAATAGTTTATTTTCAAAAGTATTCAAAAAATGGCTTCTTTTGTTCCTTGGTGACCTTGAAAAAAACCTCACATTCTTTTTACTAAGTTTCTAGGTGGATGTCTAGTAGTTTTTAACCCCGTGGCAGACGACATTGTTGCAGAATGCTACTGAGTTCTTGCAGAAGGATTTTTCCTTTAGGAAATAAAAAGTTTTGCTTTTCTTTTCTGCAGAAATTTTCGAAAGATTTTATCTTTTCTTCAGAATTATATTCAAAAGATGCCTTTTTCACACTTTAGAGTGGTGAAAAAAAATGCTTGTGACCTTTCCATTGTAGAATAATGAAAAATAAAGAATAATGAAGTAAAAAATTTGGTTTTCTTTACTGTGGAAATTTTTGTTCCAATTTTTCATGCTATTATTACTACTGATTTCCACATAGCTTTTAAAATCCGATATTATTTATCACAACAACTAAAATCTCAAAATGAAAACACACTTTAGTAACCCCTTTTTGAAGAATCTGATTTGCGTGATTTCGTCATTTTTCTTTTTTATCGGCAGTTACTGCTGTAGACTTTACAATTGTATTTTTTTAATGTTATGATGAATTATAAAATTCAAACACAGAAATAATTAGTGTTTTATCTTGCTACAAAATGAAGAATATCGCCCACAATATTAGAATAAAAAAATCACATATTTAATTAAAAAAAATTATTTTATTTGATCCAATTTTTATTTATTAATTTAATTAATTAAATTTTTTTGAACTTGCAGTTATAATTTTTTTTGAAGTTTGTATATTTGTTATGGTTAAATATCTTGCAGAAAGATATTAGCATTAAAGAGGTATATCACAGCAAGCCCGAAAAATTTCTAATAAGGGAACAAGTTTCCAATTAAATTTTAAAAAATTAAAATTTTTAAATATGCTATTTGTAATATGCTCTAATAGACCTTATTATACTTGCTAATCCAATGCCCTGAAGGAAAGTTACTTAGAAGCATTCTGATAGCCATTTTTGAAATTGCCTAGCTATCTATATTTTTTGTTTTCTGAATCGGGTTTGCACCCAACTGGCTCAGATAATTGGCGCTCTACTGTATAATCTTTTTTGAAACCTGAAATAGATACTGTTGTTCGTTTGAACTACAGTATCTATTTTAGGTTGTTCAAACGTGGTGGGGATGTTTTTGAGTGGAATTAAAGGGCACTTCTGGAACTTCTAATCAATCTTTTGTAAAAGGAAAATTTAAAAAATTTTTTTTTTTATAAGTTTCTGAAACTTCTATTTTCTTGAGCTTTTTAGTTTTTGTAATTCAAGATGGTTGAACTTTTACTGAAAATTAAAAAATGAAAAGAAAAAGACAAAATTAGAAATAGATGCATTCAGAAATACTAAATGAACAGTTTCTATTAAACTGAATAATCTCTATCATAAAATAAAAAGTTCACCAATTTATTTTTTTTATAGTTTGTTAAGTATAAAAATTTAACTAAATTTATATCTTAATGAGAACCAAGTATGCTTGGCATGCAAAGTGCTTCCTCATTCTATTAATCTCAAATAAAATTAGAGTTATCCAATTTCTGATTTGTGCATTAAATACACAAAAAGCTTACTTGAGGCTGTGATGCTTACATGATAAATTAATAGTTACTCTCTCACTAAGACTAATAGTTAATAATCTCTTAGTATAAAATGTGAATTAGTACTAAATGTTTATAATTATTATTTAGCGTGTTTGTTTGATAGATAAAAAGACTTATTACGTAGTATAAAATATCACCTTGTACCCACTAAATAATTTATCAATATTATATAGTAATCTCCCATTATGAGAAATTTTTGGTGGCAAATGAATTAGATATTTATGGTTGTAGGTACTATTTTAAAATTAGCATTTTATGAGAAAAAGAAATATTTTTATTAACTGTGGTTTTCTGTGATATTTTTGCTACTATTGACAACTTTTTGTTCTTTGTTTGCATCTGTAAGGAAAATACAGTCTGTTGCGAATATAGTCATCCTATTAAGTTTGTATAATAATAATAAGAAACAGTGATTCCACTTGTGCGCTACATGCCAAATGTGCCAAAATCATAGATGAGGTGCATAAAAAAGTTATAACATGTCCCTTAAAACTCGAAATTTTCCAATGTGAAAAAAGAAAATAATAATTGAGGAGAATTGGTGAGAAAAGAAGAATTAGAAAACAAAATAGAGATTCATATTATTTTTATTAGGGGCACGCTTTTGGTTATAAATGACCTAGAACTTTGAAATTCTCGAGACTCGTATTTTCCGAAATCTAGTCTAGTGGTATAACTGAGTTAAAAGGGGGTTATTGATAATGACACCTATCCTATTATTTTATTGAACTTTTGCTTTTCTGCATCCAATTTTATATATGTAATAATTTATTATTATTTTTTAGATTAGGTGTAGTGTTGTGTGATTTAGAAACTTGTTTTACTGCACATAAGTTAAATTCTCATGATGACCAACCACAAGAAAATTTTCAATCTGATGTAAATAATGATATTGCAGTATGTTGAATTTTTCCTTCATTGTTTTTTTTTTATTTATGTTTTTGCAAAATCCATAAGCAGAATATGTATGAGTAAAATATATTAAAGTGACTCAAATAAGGTTTGGTTGTTTAGAGTTTTAATAATTTATCGTTATTTGTAATTTACTTTTGTTGAATATACCTTAATGCAAGGTATTAAATTTCAGTTCTAAAAGCACTTGTATAGCTGAAATTTCAGCAAACAATAAGAGCAATTTTTAAAAGTTTGTTTTTTGTTGGTGTTTCTAATGTTGCTTGCCAACTACCGGGCCTGCTTGGTGAAACCAAGCGAATTTAAGGCAGAGGATGTGTCTCAGTGAATATTCTAAGTTATGAAATTGAACACAAAAAAGTGTTTTCGCTGAATAAATGCCCTTTTTTTCTATGGATTTGGATTCCCCACCCTCAAAATATGGAAGGTAGCTGCAATCTGGGAAATATGATGTCTATAGTTAAGCCAGGAAAGTGGTTAAAAGTTTGGACCCCTTAATGCTAACTTCACTTTTTGCATATTTTGCCATATCTCAAAAACTGTATAAGTTAGTCAAAAAAATTTAGTACACAATTAATATGCAAAAACTAATTTTTAGCAATCACTAATTATTTTATTTAATAATATTTTATTTAATAATGTAAGATATGCAATTTTAAATGGAATTTGAATTGAATGTATGAAATTTTACAAAGCAAAAAAAGTTTGGGCGAAATCGTTCAAACAGTTCTGAAAAATTAAATTTTAAACCTAATTTTTTTTAAAAATTTGACAACTCAGAAAATATATAAAAAATTTTTCTTTCACATTTTGTATTTTGCAATATAAAATTAAATTTTCTAAAATTATGTATAAATGTGTATACATAGCAATACAGTACTTTTTCAACCATTATTAATTAAAATAATAAGTGATTATTAAAAAGTAATTTTTGCAAGAAATTATTTTCGAATAAACAAATTTTATAATTGTGTGCAAATTTTTTTTCATTTGCCATAAAAATTCTCGAAATATGGCAAAATATACAGAAAGCAAAATTAACGTTAAGGTGTCCAAATAAACTGTGGGGACAATATTTGTCATATTGTAGCTACCCCTTATATTTTAAGGGTCAAGCATGCAAATCAATTAAAAAAAGACATCTTTGTGTCTGATTTCAATGTATATCAAATATGCTAATTAATTTGTGAAGGTGATATTTTAAGTTACTTAATCAGTTAAAAAAAATTTTCTCTGAATAAACCTACCTTTTTTTATGGTTTGGGATTCCTAACCTTCAAAATATAAGAGAATCCAGAAAATGAGGTCATAATAGTTTAGTCAAGACAGCAGCTCAAAGCCTAAAACCTTTAATATTCATTTTACTCTTTGCGTATTTCGCCATATCTCACAAACTTTTTAAGGGAATTAAAAAAGTTTTGTACACAATTATAACATTTAATTATCTGAAGATAATTCCATGCAAAAAATAATTTTTAATATTTATTTATAATTATTTTATTTAATAGCAGTAGAAAAAATTTGGAATTGTATGGCATACAATTTTTTCCCCACCAATTTAAAGAAAGGCGTGTTATAAGTTGAAATATAGAATTTAAACAAAATTGGTTGAATGTTCTTGAGAAATCGAAGTTTTGAAAAGTTGTATATTCACGTGTTTCATTTTAGTTTTGTGTATGTCTAATTAATCTTTGGTCATGAGTTTAGACCCTCTAGTTTTCAAGTCTATTTAGAGAAAATTCTTTTTATATCTACACTCATGTAATTGATGTTTGAAACTTTTCCACCACACATAAACTAATACTGAAAAACTTTAAAAAATTTCCAAAAGTTTGAAGGCATTATAAGAAGTCTTTCAAACTGTTGTTGACAAAGCTTTGGCTTTAATTGGGAGAGTCCTATTCTAAGCAAGTATGGCTATTACATTAGTGTCTGAATTTTATTATATTCATCCGTGAATTTAGGCAATGTTTTTAGATTAAAATTTAGAATAATAAGCAGCTGAAAAAATTTTATACAAATACTGCTTTTCACCCATTTGCATGCTATTATATTATTTAATTTATACAGTATATTAACATTACTTAAATAAAATATTTCATTCTCTTCAAAAAATATATAGATAAATGATATCAAAATATAATCTATAAAAAATAGCAGTCAACATGCTTCAAGAGCTTAAAAATGGGTGTCAATTTTTGAGTGCTTGATATGTCGACTTTTATTTAAAATCTGTATATTTTTAAAGGAATGAACTATTTTATTCAAGTAATATTTTACCAATTATAGTAAATAAGTAACTCAAAGAAACTGAAGGTTTCTTTGAGTTACTTATTTACTATATTGACATGTTAACCTCTGAAGTATTCAAGTTGTTATTTATGTCCTGCTTCTGTTTGATATATCTATGCTAGCTTAATGTATTGATAACAATATTTTATTCGGNTTTTTTTTTTTTTTTTTTTTTTTAGTCTTTCCCTAGGACTATATTAAAATGCATTGTGAAATCGATCATATTTTTTAAAAGGCTCAATTTTGAAATTTTTAAGGTAACATGCAATAACAGATTTTTCTCTTTGGATTATGTAAAAACCATATGAATATTTTATTTTCGTAAATGTGGTAAATGATCTTGTTTGCTGTTGATTGTAACAATGAAAGTTTGACATGTTGTAAAATTTTTTTTCAGATTATTGAACAGTCTGATCATGAATCTGAATGCAATTTACCAACTATGAACTCCAAAAGTGTTAATGGAGACGAAAGAAATTTATCTTGGGACAAAAAGTATTTAAATTAATTTTATACTTGTTAGTTATTTTGTTTTGGTGTTTCTATCTATTTGTTGTATCGTTTGTTTATCTCTTTTATTGTTCTTTTAGCTTAGTTGTTGAAGTTTGTGATTTAATGGTATGTTCCAGAAAAAATTGTGATATACCTGACTGTGAAAAAGACAAAATTAGAGAACAAATACATGAACTAAAAAAAAGGAAAGTAGATCAGCAATACTTTCGTTCTAAAAAGAAGCAAAGATATAAAGTATGTATTAAGTTATTTTTTATTATTTTAATTTTGCTTTTCCATTTCAAAGTTGATTATTTCTTGAGATAAAAATTTTTTATTAGGATTTTTTACTTATGAAAAATAAATTTTTTATGCAACAAATTGTTTTTAAATATTTATGTTAAAAATAAAGCAATAGCAATATGTTTATATCAACCTTACAAATTATTTTTTTGTTATATTGAAAATTTGTATTTGTAATTAATAAGTTAATTTAAATTTTAATTATCTCTATGGAGAAGCAACCTATTTTATCTGCTTTATAAGTTGACTGATCAAACCCACAACTGGATGCAGCTTTGATAAAAACTGGTTACAGTTTTCAGCAAAGATATTAAAGTTCAAAATTTCAAATGAGTTTAATGATGATATTAATCTTCAAAATTGATTTAGTTAATGGCTACTTTCAGTTCTCTTAAATATTAACATTCTTTTGTACCAGTCAGAATAAAGTGAATTTCATTAAATTAATTTCATTGCCAGGGAAATCATATAGCTTAAAATCTTTTGTAGCACTTCATATATATCTGCTATACCTTTTGTTATAGCAGACTCTTCAACTCCTTAAGGTTAATGCTTGTGAAAAAGTGACATTTAAAGTGTAAATGATGGTAATGGTAAAAGACATAACGGTAAGGGATGCAATGGTAAAGTATAAGGGATGGTTGGAGTATTACTAATATGTTAATAAATATAAAACCTTGCACATTAAAAAAAGCTTTTATTACATGATGCATATTAAACCTTATAGTTGAATTAAAAACGTCAATTTTGATCTAAACATAATATTTCAGGCTTTACTATATATATTTTTTTATAATACACTGTTTAATTGTCAAAATACATTTACAAAAATTTATTTGTTGAGATGTATTTATCAGGATAACACAATAAAACATCAGACACCATTAATGAACTGAAAATAACAAGTTTATCAGTATAGGCATGCAATGTCAGCACCATCTAATAACAATCAAACACACACTTCTTACAGTTTGTAGAAATTTTTAAATTAGTGTAATTTTTGCTGTTGTAGAAGGTTGATATAATTTAAATAATTGGATTTTTTTTTAAAAAAATCATTGACTTAATTAACCTGATTTTTTTTTCCTTCAAAATAAGTCATTGTTTGTGTCAAAGCTATTTTTATACAATATAATAATATTTAATAAATATATTCCTGTAGTTGTGGTTTATTAAAAGTTTTATTTGATTAATGTTGGGGAATCTGCGTTCGGCTGACATCTGCTCCTGCACCTGGGAGCCCAAGGTCAAAAGCACTGAGATGAGCACAGTAGGCCTTGGCCCTCTTTGGGCTTGCATATCATTGAACTTAGTTTAATTAACATTTAGTTTTTTTAAAAAAAATTTTTTGTTGATAAATATTGAGAATGGGTTGCATTTGTAACTGTTTATTTAATGGTCAAAAAAGATAAATAAATAACAGAAAGTGACTAAATGTTGATAAAAGTGAGATAAACTTTTAAATTTTTATTAGCTGTATATTAGATAATTTTCTGTTTTATAAACCAATTTCAATTATACCTATTTCAGTTATATCCATTTAGTTTTATGATTAGAAACTTGTTCAATACTAGTTTGCGTACCTGAAGAATAAAAGTCAAGTTCTGTCAAGAACACTTATAAATAGTTGTTTTTTTCCTTATCTAAATCATTCATCAATTGATATTTAATTGATAAATTATGTCTGTCTTTACTTATTCATAAAGGTGTTGAGCTTTAATAAAAACAAATAATTATATTGATTCAGTGACTAGTTTTCGGTAATTGTTTAATAATTTCCACCAGTTGGAAATATTATGCAGCTTAAATTGAAGTATAATTTTTAAATATAATTAAGCATTTTTAATATACTTTATCAGAGTTTTAATTGGTAAGTGTAGAACAATCTGAATTAAATAATAAAAAATTCAATTTAAATAAAAAAAAAAATTTCCTTCATTTTTAGAAAAAATTATAATTCTTGCCTACCCTGTTTCTGTAAGTTTTATTTCTATAAGTTTTATTTCATATTTCATACTGATACATATTTCTAGGAAGAGAATGATGATGATGCTTCTGATATTAAGGAAATTACCAATGGTAAAAAAGTTGACGAGAGTTCCGATGATCATGACTCTGACATTGTAGAAGTTTCGAATGATGAAAGTGATCCAAACTTTAAAGTATTTAAATGTTATTATTTCTATTGAATACTGTGTCTCTTTGTCTCATTCAAGCTCTTATGTATGCAATTTCTATGAAACTGCTTATTTTTTTTATATGTGTCAGCTCACTTAAATTATACATAAAATAATTATCATGGCAATGTTCTTTTTCACTTGAGATTTATTATTTCATATTAACGCATAAAAGTGACAATTTATGAACATTTACAGAATCTGAACATGCATTTTTTTGCTCTATTGTTTTTAAGTTGTAAGGCAAATACCATTTCATTCAACATTTTTTAGAAGCATAAACTCCGTAAAAAGTAATAATAATTTTTTTTAAAAATTTATTTTAAAAATTAGAAGTTAGTTGCAAGAACAAGTTATGTCAAAACAAATATTTAAAAATTTTTTTTGTTTCATAAAAGTTAATGAGAGAAAGGGGCACAAATGTAAAATCAGTCCTTTTCTGAAAGGGTAATCTACTTAAACTTAATGATTTTTTAAATTCCATTTTGCTTTAGACTAGAGATGATTGTGCTCCGAAAAAATTCTGGATTTCCAGATTTTTCGCAATTTTCGATCGGGAAGTTTCTAGAAATCCTTGATCACATTTATGTATAAAATATTTTGCATATTTTTAATAAAATATTAGAACTAGAATTTACACTCAGTATCTCTTTCATTTGTAAATATTATTTTGGTAGAAAAATAAATGGGATTAGAGATAAAAGTAAACTTATACATAATTATTCATTTAAATTATGCTGCATATTATTTCATGTTTTGAAAATATCAATGATTTAAATTTATAAAGACATTAATCTTTTGAAATGGGTCATTAATGATTTTACTCAAGAAATTTTCAGGAATTTTGAGTTAGGCTCACAATCACCCCTGTTAGACAATAATTTGTGAATCACATTCTACCTACCTCTTCTAACAATAATTTATTTTTGTAGTCATTTCTTTAATTTTTTTTTTTTTTGCTTTGGAGCAGGAAATATTAGATATAAATGGTTTAATCAGATAAATGGATAAAAGTGGGTTCTGAATAAATATTAAAACAACGAAAATGCATTGGAAACATACTAGGGCTCTGTCACTCTGTTATTATTCATCAGTTTACTCGCAATGAAGTAAATCCAAGAATTGATTGTTAATAAAATTCAGGTAAAAATAGTATAAGAATAATTATACTAGTATGCAGTTCACTTTTAGTGAATAGCAAGTAGCAAAGTGAAAAGAACTATTAAATATTAAATGATGTAAAAAATGAATTTTTCTTTATAGGAAGAAACAAGTGAAGAAGAATTCTCCTATGAGGTATGCATTATTGTTTTTTTAATACTCTAACAGACATGTTTCTAAGGTTTGTGAGGTTTTATTCAGTAAAATTAGTCAAACCTTATCTCTTCTAATCTTGCTTATGTTAACTTAAATTGTTTCCAAAGTGTTTTTTTTTAAATGCTTGTATTTATTTTTTTCACCCTCATTTTCAGTGCTATTTTATGTGCATAAGAAATGAATGGTTTGCTAGCTAGTGAAATTGTTTATCATACTTTTATGAAAGTTGTGAAAATGAAAGAAATGTGAAAGTTGTATATTTATTACATTTCATTGGCATTCTTAGGCATCTTAGTTTTACCATTAAGAAAACGCAATACGGCCAGGTAAAATGCTTCACAGCAAATTTTGATTTACCTATATTAGTAATTTAAGATATAAACTGTAGATAAAAAGTTATTTCAGAAAAGCCTAAAGTAAACCATGAAGTTTCAAATGCCTGTACATCAAAATGCAAACAAATGTATACATCAAAATGCAAACAAATTATATTAGGATTACACTGTAAGAAGTACACTGCAACATTAATTTGTTTGCATTTAAATATTTTGAAAACATTTTATGCGTTTGAAACTTCACAGTTTACTCTAGGTTTTCCTGTACTAATTTTTTCTTTATTTTAAATTAGCAGTGTATGTAAATCATGGAAACAAGTTTGTCATGGAAATTTTATTTTGCTGTATAGTTTTTTCATTTTTCTAAAAAGGGCTGTGTTATTTGTGCAAGAAAAATATAATATCCTAGTGCAAATGGAGTTACAAGAAAGCCTTAGAAAGTTCCTAGAAAAGTATAAATAAAGGAAATCAACTAGCAGAATTAGATTAGTTCAGAATTATATGCTGCTTAGCATAAATTGTAAATTCAAAACACAACCGAAGTACTACCTTTAACTGGGGCAATAGTGCAAGTAAATTTTGTAATAAATATCTTTATACACCTTAAGTAATAAACATCATAATGTAATAAATATTTTTATACATCTCTAGTAATAAATATCTTTTTACATCTTAAGTAATAAACATCTTTATACATATTAAGTAATAAACATCATAATGTAAAAAATACCTTTATACATCTTAAGTAATAAACATCATAATGTAATAAATATCTTTATACATCTTAAGTTATAAATATCATAATGTAATAAATATCTTTATACATCTTAAGTAATAAGCATCATAATGTAATAAATATCTTTATACATCATTGATAAAGAGGCGTTTTGAAGTGGTGATATTAAAACTCAGTTTAAAAACTATGTAGCACTGTGATAAAAAAAACCTTGATTTTTCAGAGTTGATTAATAAAAATAGCTTGGAAATGAAGTTAGCCTTATAACCCCACTATCTTGATAATCTTTATACATCTTGAAATAATTTGGGCCAAAATTGGTTTTGTCCAAATTTCTTTAGCTAATTTAGGTCCTACTGTAAACTTCCGTTTCACTTTGAAGCTTAATTTTAGTAATAGATCTAGCAAATGTCTGAATGGGAAATTTACTTTCATTGCCAGCTTGATAAAGACCCAAAAATGTTTACAAATATGCAAACTATAAGTATAATTTTTCTTGTTACATCCTAAAAATGTGAAACGCCAATTTGATTTGGAGTAACATTATTCTTGTTCTAAATGGTAAAAAGAAAGTATTTTATAAAAGTAAACTATGTATAAAAAGAAACAAAAGAGTTAAAGTTATTAATATAGTTGTATTTTTATGTGCTTTTCATATTTAATTTGCTTTTATTATCCACTTAATTTTTTTTATGAACCACAACTAATTTTTAAAATTTATTTTGTATATTTTAAGGAGTCTGATGACTCTGATTGGGAAGAAAAGAATATTCCAGTAAGTAATTGTTTTTATTTTAGATTTTAAAACCTTGCTATTTCTATGTGAAATTTTATTTTAATTCTTTAGAATTTTCTGAAAATTACTATATTTTCGAATTGTTTCTTTTCTTTCTTTAATTTCCCTCTCTCTTTGTTCTTATTTTTTCCTTTCCAAGACTCTGCTTTTCTGTGAATTACTGTTTAACAAAACAAAAGTGTAATTTGTGCTCTAAAGCTCTGTTTGGGAAATAAATAAAAATAGAAGTTCACATTCAATACTTGAAATGCAAAACAATTTGTAACCAAAATTGTGAAAACAAATATCATTAAAAGCTAATATTAAGTATTATTATATTAATATATGTTTTTTGTTGTAGGGAAAAAGAAGAGAGAGAATGAAAAAGGTAAAATATATCTTGTGAAAAAATTTTTTTGGGAATAATTATCTCTTTTTTGTTATTAATGTACTCTAATAATTTTTGTTAATTTATGTATTTTTTTCTTCAGAATTTTTATATTATTTTTTTAGTGCAATGGAACAAATTATAAAAATAAGGGCGAACATCATAATAATTTCACTTCTAAATAAATTTTAGTAAAGACTAGTAAATTAGAAATTTTTTGCTATCTGCAAATATTGTCTATTTGCATGTTTTATGAATTATAATATTTTTTTATCCTTTAGTTAAATTTAGCTCTTGGTTACTATTAATCTAATCAGTTTTATACTTCACTGTGTTTCTAACCATTACGACTTAATTTCCATCATTAATAATTTATCATTTTTTTATTTTAGTTTTTTTTTTGAATTTCATAAATTTTCTTTAAACTGAATTTCAATATAAAAATTGCTTTTTGTTTCAGGTAAAACTTGAAGAAAAAGAAAAGCAGGTATAATATACCTTTTGATTTTCTTTTATATTTTTTTTTCCCATATTACATTTTAAATGTAATTTTAAATTTTTTGTGATCTAGCTTAAATTTCTAGTAATGTAGTTTTAAATTTCTTTTAGTGCAATTTTCTTAGAAATTTTTTATTTTTTGTTTTTATAAATATATTTTATTCTTAATTTAAAATTTGTTTTTTCTAGAAAAAACTGAAAGAAGAAGAAAAGCAGGTTTAATATATCTTTTGATTCCTACAAAAATAAAATTCTCTTCTCTGTTATTATGTAATGTAATTTGTTATTTTCTACAGCAGAGAGTATTGTTGTCTCATGATGACAGTATAAATTGGTAACATTTCTACCAAGTTATTGTATTCATTCTATTCTGCCATTATCTTTGTTTTTGATTGTAGTTAATTTTGAAATGATTTGTTTTTCCATAATGAGATAAAAATTAGTAATGAGCATGCAAACACATTTAACAGCAAGTGCAAAAATAGAATAACAAGCACAGTGTAAAATTAGTTAATATATTTGAACAGCAGTTTTTATCCAAATGAATACTATACCTCTTATGAAAAATATGATCAGAAAATGAATCTAATTTACAAATCACTGTGTTTCCAACCATTATAACTTCATTTCCATCATTAATAATTTATAATTTTTTATTTTAGTTTTTTTTCTTCGTATTTTTAAATTTCATAAATTTTCTTTAAACTGAATTTCAATTTAAAAATTGCCTTTTGTTTCAGGAAAAACTTGAAGAAAAAGAGAAGCAGGTATAATATACCTTTTGATTTTCTTTTATAAATTTTTTTCCCCATATTACATTTTAAATGTAATTTTAAATTTTTTGTGATCTAGTTTAAATTTCTAGTAATGTAGTTTTAAATTTCTTTTAATGCAATTTTCTTAGAAATTTTTTATTTTTTGTTTTTATAAATATATTTTATTCTTAATTTAATATTGTTTTTTTCTAGAAAAAACTGAAAGAAGAAAAGCAGGTTTAGTATATCTTTTGATTCCTACAAAAATAAAATTCTCCTGTCTGTTATTATGCACACAACAATAACAAGCACAGTGTAGAATTAATTAATATATTTGAACAGCAGTTTTTATCCAAATGAATACTATACCTCTTATAAAAATTATAATCAGAAAATGAATCTAATTTACCAGTACAGAAAAAGACAAAGAGGTAAATTAACAATTAAAACATTAACTCAAAATGGAACTAAAACTGATAAAACTAAATTTGCTTCATTTTAATTTAGATATTCAAGAAATTAATTGTTTTCTTGAATATCTTATAAAAAATAGCAATAATAAAAGATAAATTAAATGAAGGCATGTACAGTTGATATGTACAAATGAAAAAAAAAAAAAATTAAGAAATCTTAGTCAATCTCTTACTTAATTGACAAGACGGTGGCAATGGCTTTTTGATTTCCTGCTTTTGAAAGGAAAATATCTTATTTTTTTAATCTTTATTTTTTTCTCATAAATGTTAACTTTTTGTTAATTTAATATTTACTGATTAATTAAGGGAAAGGGCAAGGATGTTATTAAATAATTTTGATCTAGATTATTTTCTGTATAAATTTTTATAGACAGTAGTAAATTAAGTAATATTTGTCATCTGACAGTAAAATACTGTCCTTTTATAAGATTTTTAAACTTTTTAAGATTTAATTCTGTTTAACCTTTTAGCTAGCCAGTTTCACATTAAAAAACAGTCACTAGTAATTTTACAATTGTTAGTGCTAGTTTTAATTGTTGTTTAAAAATTTAAATTTGGATTGTTTATGACTAATATTAATTTTAACAATTGCGTTTTATTGTAGAGAAAGAAAGAAAAAGAAAAGCAGGTATGTTATTTTTGTTTATAAATATATTTTTCTTCCTGTTGATTTTTTGAATTGTAATGTTGTTACTGTTTAAACTTTTTACCAGTTAAAATGAAAGGAGCTATAAAGAGGGAAAATTGGAAAGGGAAAAAGTTGTTGCTGTATAAAATTTATTTAATTTATAAATAGAATTAAATAACTAGTAAATGATGATTAAGTTGATTAATGATATATGGTTGAGTTCGAAACTTTATAAAAGTTTTCTGACTTTTATTAGATCTCTAAAGAAACACAATTGGTTTCTGAGTATACATAGCAGTAATTTTTATTTTTGTTCTTTTTGTTTTCTGTACTTTTTAATCTATGTTAATAATTTAAGAATAATAAGACATAAAGTCGAACAGGGTTCCATTGGGTCAGGGAAAATGGAGAAAAACTGGAATTGTCAGTGAATTTTATTTTAACTCCAAAAGTTAGGTAATTTTCTCATCAATTTTCTTCAAAAACCTTTAAAAATAACCAGTCTTAGAATTTCAGCAGTATAAGGCAGTAATCGGTTATTGAGATTTGAGTTAAATAATTCTAACATCTATTGCAATCATTTGTTATAAAAATTTCACATTTTAGTCACATTGACATGTTTCCATCCTGGGCAAGGTTGACTCTGCCTTTCATCCCTTTGGTGGGTCGATAAACTGATCACCAAGTATTCTTGGGGACTAAACTCTAGGGATTCCTTGATTCGATTGACCATCAATGTACCTTGACCTTGGTACTGGTGATTGACCTTGGGTACTCTGCTTCTGCTCCCCAGTAGCCAAGGTAAAAAAAAACTGAGAAGGGCACAGAGTAGGTCTTGGCTCTCTATGGGCTGTTGCGCCACTGAGTTTAGTTTAATTCTCTTAATTCAATCTTTTATTCCACTGGTTATAACATTTGCTCAAAGGCCTACATCATACTGCTGACATTTTATTCATTTTGTGAATATTATTGATTTTTTTTATGGAAAATCTTAGTAGTTTTGAGCTTATAAGACAAAATCATTTTGATGATAAAATGGCTTTTTTGAAATTCTTTAAATTTGATTACTGTAATATTTTATTATGGATGTTTATTCTCTTAATCTAATCCTTTATTCCAGTTTTTTTAACATTTGCTCAAAATAATTATCAATTGAATTGTTTTACTCATTTTGTGAATGTCATTGATTTTTTTTAACTAAAAATTTGAATAGTTCTGACTTTGTAAGACAAAAGCATCATGATGAAATGGCTTTTTTAAAAATTCTTTTAACTCTGATGATTGAGATATTTGTTTATTTTTATGATTTTTTTAATCCAATATTTTATTTCCCTTGTGTTATCATTTGCCGAAAAGAAATGTTTCATTCCTTTTATGAAGATCATTGATTTTTTTAGACGGAAAATCTAAGTAGTTATGAGCTAGAAAGACAAAAGCATCTTGATGATAAAATGGCCTTTTTGAAATCCCTAATGATTGACGAAGTATGTATTATATTCAACTATCTATAACAATTAACTCATTGTGCATTTTTTTAAAAAGTATAATTAATAATTTATTTTAGATTGTGGATGAGCTTGAAGAAACTGCTAAATCTCAAACTCAAAGGAAACCTAGAGTAACAAAGTAAGTTTTTAATTTTCATAATGGAACATTAATTAAGGAAACTAAAAGGAAATATTTTTCTTATTATTGGCCTTCTTAATCAGTTAAAACCTATGTCAGTTACTATTAGTCAAGAAAACAATTTTCAGGATCTCTCAATGCTCAGTTCTACTTGTCTTTATAAAGTGCAAAATATGAAATTTTTGAAATAATTTTATTTAAATTCTTTATATTTGTGAAACCTTAAAAACTAAAGTTAAATTAACTGTAAATTTAGTTATTTTGTAGTTTGATTTTATTTTACTCATCAGTTGTTGATGCTCTGGATAAAAAATTATGTGATTGATAAAAACAAATCATAATTTTCTCAGTGTCTCAATTTCTTATGTCATCTGAAAATGTCTAGAAAAAATTTTAAAAATTCTGTTATGTTTTAAATAAACATGTTTTATAAAGCAAGATTTTTTAAGAAAAACAAAGTTCTCAAAAGATGACACATTACCCAATTTCTTGTATATTTAAAAAGTTTTATAAGAATTTGGTGCAGCTATTAAGTTTCAAATGGACTTTCTATATAATAAATGTGTAATTAACTCTTTAACTGTTGAGCCAGAACTCTGTTCACTGATATAACCTGCACTGAAAACAAATTATTTCCTTGTTATTCAATCTGTCAACAGTTTAATTGGAAATTTTTGTTTATCAAATTTATTCAAGCATTTGAGTAGTTAAATGATTATTTTATTTAAGTGTTTTGTTTTTAGCATTTTGGCAATATATTGAAAAATAATGCTAATTTCATATTTAAAAGATATTTTGTTTTTGAATATATGTCAAAGAAAAGGTTACTTATAAAGACATTTGTAATGAGGGATAAAAAGTAATTAAAAAACAAACAAAAGTAACAAAACTAGAAGTGATTATTATTGTTTGTCTATATTAAAAACTACTCTTTCCACAAAGTCTATGGCTGTCTGCTGCTATGGAAATAAGAAATGACTCATTTCAAAGAGGGGAGCTTTGCAATAGACAAAAGAAAAATTATTCATTTCCTTTTACTGGTCCAAGCCAAAACTTGTTCTAAATACTTGAAATAGTTAAACCTCGTCTTACTTGAAATAGTTAAACCTCGTAACCATAGTCACTGCCACTTTTCGAGACAAGTGAGGAGGGGCGTTGTTTACATAGATAGACTAGATATAGATAAACTAGATATAGAGATTTTAGATTTATTTATCTCAGTTTTATTTTAAATTAATAATAAACATTACATTAAAACATAATAATAAACATAACATTAAAACATAATATAATTTTAAAAATATTAGGGTTCTGTAGAATTCCATTGCAACAACCATTAAAAAAGCTATTGAGAAGCTACATAAATTTATATTAGTATTTACAAATAGTCCGCATCAAAAAGTGATGACTCATATGTGCGATTCAAAATTTCCCACGTATCATGGTGCGTAGAATTTTTAAAAAGTGCTTAAAGTTGCTTATTTTTGATTTTCTCTTTTTAAAAGCCCTTAAAGGTGTTTTTTTAATTTTGTGTTTTTAAAAAGTGAAGTTTTTTAAAAGTGAAAATTCTTTCTTTACACATAAATTTTTTTCTTCTTTACCATGTTGATTTTTGCCACGCATTATGCAAAAGTGTGCTTTTTACATTGTTCTACTGAACGTTTTCACAATTCATTTAACCGCAATCTATTTCAGCGTACTGTCGGTCCACAGTGTTTAAAACCGCCACTCATTTTACATGTTTGGCGAAAACTTGTGAGTCTGCATGCGTGCCTACCGAGCTGGGTTTGGGAAGATAATTGCTTTCTCATGTGCAACTTTGTTAGATTTTACAAGATATTTTCAATTTCAGGCTTCATTTTCCACCCTCTGATATCAAACTGAAAAATCTCTTGATCCTTTTATAATGGCTAATATAATCAAGAAAGGAGTTCTTTGCGAGAGTTATAAAGTGCTTATTTTTTGCCGATAGATTTGGCTACACACGATGCATATTATTTTTTAAAAAAATTTTCCTTTGTGCTCAAATGCTTCTGCAGGCCACAGGTTGTGCGCTCCTACTTTAAGAGTTCCAACAAATGTATTGCTGTTGTGTTGTTTTGAGAATAAACATTATATTTAATGTCATCTATTCAGATCTGCAGCAATTAAAATGTTTTTATTAGTAAAATAAAATAAAATTAACTTTTAGTTTAAATTGTACTAGTTTCTTATTAGAGTTATTGTTGTGTCTTTGTAGCTATTTAATAACCTTTTAGTTAAATGATAAACAAAGTCAACATTATTTAGGATTAGTATTTATTATTAGCATGAAACATGAAGCACGATGTTACATCTTGTATACATCAATCCAGCAAGTGCAGTTGAAGTTGTAGTTGTTATATCACAGTTATATTAATAAATAAAATGTTTAACTTAGTTATGTCCAATTTATTTTTAAAAAGGCCCAAAGAAATTCTTGAAGTTTCAAGGAAAAGCAAGAGAATGGAAAACGTGAAGATAAATTTGTCAGAGAAAGCTCTTGAAGCCAAAGTTTATGATAATGCTACTACCTCTAATGAAAAAGTAACTTTTCATTTTAGTTATTTAAAAATTGTTTTTTACTTTGTTGTAACAATTTATTAATCTCCCATATCTAAAATATGTTTTTAAAATAATTATTTTCATTCAAGTGATTATGATATTTATATTTATTATTTCAACTGTAAACTTGTTTTTTATTAATTCAGCATAATTTTAAATTTTTTCATAAAATCCTTATCTTAACTATTGCTTATAATATACTTATCTTTTTAGTCCTTGTTAATTGAATTATTTATTAAAACTGTTTTACTTCAAAGAGTAATAAGTTTTTAGATTTGATATTTTTGTTCTTAAGTCTAACCTTAAATTTTTTTCTTTTATGCTAAATAAATTTTGTTGAATACTCATTGGATTCCAGATGTTGTGACATTAACTAGATGTTAGGGGCATTTATGTGACATGAAGTATTCCTCTAATTTTTAGAATGAACTATTTTTTAATGTAAGCATCGATCAACCTCAAGTTCAATATGGTGGCATACAGGCTATGGGTTGTGCCTCCCATTTTATGCAAGCATTTTCTGTGGTAAAGGGTGAAAATTATTGTTATTATTATTTTTTTATTGCTTGTATTAAACTATTTTTAAGACTTGTAAAGATGGAATAAAACATGAGTTTTTTCAACTTTCTACAAGATTTTAAATTTTGTTCAAGATGATAAAGGGTTTGACATTTTACCCTTTGGTAAAGCACTTTTACTTTGACAAATTTTATTTAACACTTCTCAATTAGTTTGGAGTATTTCAATATGTTAACTTATCTGATGTATATTAATATATTATTTTTATTCTAAGATAAGTATATTTTTACGGTGTTAAATGCTTTAGAGTGTAAAAGGATAAAAATGTGTATGCAATGAGAATCATGCAAATTTCATTAAAAAAAAACGTAAAGTGTTCCCACAACAGCCCGTTTTGAGCAGGGTGCTCATGAAGCTTAAGAATCCACCATATCATTACCTATGGCATAATTGTGGCTATGTGGTCAGCATTAAATAAAAATTGCAACTTAGTATAAATTTCTATTTCCAATTTAAATGTTATATTTAATAATTTTTTAAACATAAATTTTATAAAATTAAATAAAATTTTAACATTAATGGATGATAAATTACTTCCTCCTCTCATATTATAGAGTTGTCAAATTAGATAAAATAATAGCCTTTATCAAAAGAAAGTATATTAGTGAAAATAAAAAGATTTGTTAAGTGATCTTTTTTTGAAGAGAAGAGGGTATATTTGAACCCATGGAAATCTAATAAATAAACAATTTTTGTTGCTGTAATTATNTCAAAGTGATAAAGGGTTCGACATTTTACCCTTTGGTAAAGCACTTTTATGCTTTTTATTTAACACTTCTCAATTAGTTGGGAGTATATATGTTAACTTATCTAATGTATATTAATATATTATTTTTATTCTAAGATAAGTAAATTTTTACGGTGTTAAATGTTTTAGAGTGTAAAGGAATAAAAATGTGTGTGAAATGAGAATCATTCAAATTTCATTTAAAAAAAAAGTAAAGTGTTCCCACAACAGCCCATTGTAAGCAGGGTGGTCATGGAGCTTAAGAATCCACCATATGGCATAATTGTGGCTATGTGGTCAGCATTAAATAAAAATTGCAACTTAGTATAAATTTCTATTTCCAATTTAAATATTATATTTAATAATTTTTTAAACAAATTTTATAAAATTAAATAAAATTTTAACATTAATGGATGATGAATTACTTCCTCCTCTCATATTATAGAGTTGCCAAATTAGATAAAATAATAGCCTTTATCAAAAGAAAGTATATTATATTAGTGAAAATAAAAAGATTTGTTAAGTGATCTTTTTTTGAAGAGAAGAGGGTATATTTGAACCCCTGGAAATCTAATAAATAAGCAATTTTTGTTGCTGTAATTATAATTATTTTTATCTTATTCTTAAAAAATTAGAAATAATGCTTATTTGTATGTTATATAGAATCCACCTGATTCATAAAATGGGCACAAAAGTTAATTTTTCTATTTAATTCTATAATTTACTAATATTTCTTTGTTTATTAGAAGGTACAAAAAAAAAAAACTTAGTACTGGAACTTTAAATTATAGGACATTTAGACGCTAATACTCCCTGGTTTTTTTCTGCTCTTATTACATATTTAATCAACATAGCAACATATTTAAATCGAGCATAACTTTTTTGTTAAAAATTTAAATGCTGTTAAAAGTGTAGTTTATTACCAAACTTTTTTAGTAGGTTTTAATTAAATTATTGAAATTTTTTGCGAAAATATATGATGCCTGCATCTAAAATTATTTCTCAAGAAAAAGTAAAAATATAAAATCATATTCAAGATATTTGATATATCGCATTGAGCATTTCCTGTTGAAAAAATTTTTCTGGGTGCCTTTGACTTTAATTATAAGCAATACATTTGAAAAATATGCTTTTTAGATTTATCAATATAAATTTAATATGTAACTTACCACTTAAAGATTTTTGTCACTTTTTACAGCCTGAAATACCTTCCGTCTATTCATTTGAAGATGCCTTACATACAGAGGAAAAAGGTTCCTTGTATGACTATGATAAATACTTCATGGATATGGAGATAAAAGAAGAGACTTCTAATACAAAGTAAAATTTCTTTTACATAAAATAAAAATTGCATTGATACAGTATAAAGCTAACAGAATCTTTTCTTTTGCAATAAATCCTTAATAAGATTATTATTTTAAAAAATAAATCATTTGTTATTTAATAATTGAAAAATTGCGATTGTCCGAAAGCATTATTATTTTAATTTATCATTTCTGAACGTCAAATTCAGACAGTCGATTCACAGCATTTAATCTATATTTTCTCAAACTTTTTTTTTAAATGCTGCCTACTGTGTAAGATAAAAAATTTTTAATAGCCCTCTGAAAATATAAACTCTCTCTTTTAAGTTGTTTAATATACTTTGTACTAATAAGTCATTTAATGTTGTCCAATGCATTCATATTGAAAATTATTATTTTAAGACAAATTTTGATAAAGTAGCATGCATGAGACAGTTGTAGGTTCCTTTAATTCAGATATTTGATTCGAGCTAACACTCTACAAGTAATGAAACTATTGTAGATGCAACTTTTTTCTTTTAGTTTGTTGCTCAATGCTCTTCTTCTTTTCAATGTAGTGTAGTAAGTAGCAATCAAAATCAAAATATCATCTTAATAGCCCTTCAAAAATATAAACTCTCTCTTTTAAGTTGTTTAATATACTTTGTACTAATAAGTCATTTAATGTTGTTCAATGCATTCATATTGAAAATTATTATTTTAAGAAAAATTTTGATAAAGTAGCATACATGAGACAGTTGTAGGTTCCTTTAATTCAGGTATTTGGTTCGAACTAACACACTACAAGTAATGAAACTATTGTAGATGCAACTTTTTTCTTTTAGTTAGTAGCTCAATGCTGTTCTTTTCAATGTAGTGTAGTAAGTAGCAATCAAAATATCATCATCTTGTAGCAATCATTGGCTATTATTTTTAACTAAGGTTTTTTAAAGAAACAAGATTCAGCATAACTAATTTTTCGAATATGATTCGTACAAATCTTTTGAAAAATAATCACCAAATGTAACGAGAATAATCCTGATGTATTTTAGTTTTTAGATTGAATTAAAAAAGCTTGTGGTTGATACCATTAGGTTGTTATAGAAACAAATTTCTGTAAGTCAGTCAGTCTGTCAGTTTTAATATACAGGACAAAAATAAGCGTTTTTGACTAATTTTACTTTTTGATTTTCATAAAGGCAAGCAAGCACCTGAAGCCCACAAAGAGATATGTGAAATTTGTTGTGTTGAATGTTTACTAGTATGCACTTGTCAGAATTTAAAAAATTTCAAATTAAAATATCATAAATTTATAAGAATAATTCGAATTTTTTAATGGTAAGAGGTTAGGCACCAACAGTGGTTCAATGCATTAAATATTTCCAAGAATTCGAATTTCCCGAATTTGGTTTTCCAAGTAGGACCACAAATGCTCTGTTGGATTAAGGTCAGGTGAATTTGGGGGCCAAGACATGACTTGAAAGTCACTGGGACGTTCCTCGAACCAATCCATGAAGATTCGACCCTTATGACATGGTGCATTGTCCTGTTGGTAAACACCATCCCCTGCAGGAAAAACTGTTGCCATGAATGGGTGAGCCTGGTCTGCAACTATGTTCAAGTAGCTTACAGACGTCAGGGATTGTTCTATGAGGATTATGGGTCTTAATGTGCTCCATGAAAACATTGTTCTTGGGCGAGAAACCATGAAAACCTGGGCGAGCCCATTGTTAGAGATGGAGGGTGGTCATAATGTAATGGCTGCTTGGTGTATGTTTGTTTACTCTCATTAAAGGGCTAAAAAAGTAGTCTCAAATACTGTGTCTAAATATTATAAAAGAAATTTTTTTTAACAGTAACAAATATTTCGTCTAGGCTTAAAAAGGTTAAATAAAACTGAATGCCTATCAAAAGTCCATTATATTTATATAAAAAACCAATTAAACGTGTCATATGGATGTAAAGACTGATTTTAACTCCTCAAGGTAAAATATTGATATTACTTGGTTATGCTATCTTTTAGTTCTTCTACAGTGTCGTTAAGATAAATTAGTTAACTTTTTGCCTTAGAATGTTTTACTTATGCATGTCTATGTATTCTTTTAACTTAAACAAATTTATAACAGTTGAAGTTTGTTTCATTTCGGTGAAAAAAATTCTTACAAATTGAGTTCATTGGCTTGCAATAGAACGTTTTAATTATAACAAACACATCAAAAATGTATCCATTAAAAACGTCATTGGACTAATTAAGCATATTTGCTTTGTTTGAAGTGTTAGCATTTGTTGTACTGAACATTTTAAAAGCAAATTTACCACAATATCTATTTTCATCGAAAATTCTCAAAAAGGCTAAGATCTGAAGGTGCAAACATGTAAAAGATAAAATCACTACTAAAGCTATATGAGTGAGCTTATGAGTTTAGTACACTTTTTACTAAATTTAATTAATTAGTAGTATTTAATTAATGCATAATATTTACTTAATTCATAATATTGAATTTTTCAAGCTAAATTTTGTGTTGTGATGTTCATTTTATATAGTTTTTCCTAATGCTCTATTTTTTTTATAGTTCTTTTTTGGGGGGCATTTTTTCCTGTTTTTTTTTTCTATTTATCTATGAGAGTACCAATTTTCAAACCTGACGGATTTTATGAGTTTTATTATAAGTTTAGCTTTGTTTAGAGCACTCTCTACTGAACAATTTGTAACAATTAATAATTAATTTGTTTGCTAATAATAAAAAAAGTATTAAAAAAAATGGGAAGCAAGTTTGAATTGAAAAGTTCGATGAAAAGAAAATTGTAATTTTTAAACTTATGTAATGATTGTACGTTTTAATTTGATGTAATTTTTTTTATAAATGCATTTCCTTTTCATAATTTATTCAATGCTTCAAGAATAAACATATATTTTCCTTTTTTTTTTTAAATTCTTTTCTACAGGTATTTTACTTAAATATTTTCTTGAAAATAACCAAACTAATATTAAATAAATAGTAATGAATTATTGATTATTTCTAAATATAAGCACCATTTTCAAAAATCTTAAATGGTTAAAAAAAAGTCTTAACTTTTAGAACCCTAGTGACCCATCCACAGATCCCTCCGTGGAACACCTCTTTTGAATCAATCACTGGATTGGATTAGATTTTTTACTTACAACAGGATACTTACATCTTGCATGTATAATTATGAAACCTACTTGAACCTACTCAGAAACTTTTTTTAATTGTGGCAGATTGCAATAAAAGTTTGAATGTTAAAATTAAAGTTTTGAGCCCCTCACAGCGATTCTAAATCTCACATCATGACAACTTAGTGTGTTGCATTAGTCACAATGAAAACTCTTGGTCTGTGTGATATAGCATATTAAGGAAATATATTAGCTATATTTTTTTTACTATGCCAAGTTGTAGAACTTGTTAGAAATTCATGAAAAAATTGCCCTTTAAAAAGTAAAAACCATCAAGATTAACCTAAAAGTATAAAATTATGCCCTTTGAAATGTAAAAATTTTTTTTAAATATATTTAAAAAAAAAATTGTTTTTTTTTTATTTTAAAATCTGTATTAAATGCAACATCTATTTATAAATTTGATAAAAAAAACAAGGTTATATTAAATATAAATGTGTAATTTATGACGTGAGATCTCTCAAAATGTAAATAAATACCTGATAAAAATTAATACTAATTTATTAATTTTTAGTTAACAATCTTCGGGAACAACAAAATCGCGTTTCATTATTCACTTTTTTTCATATTCTTAAAATTAAAAGAATGACTTTTGTTCAAAAGCAACTTCTTACATCTTGAACATCAAAACTTGTTTAACATCTTGTGTTTAATATTCAATTTTGTTATTGGGAGATCTTTAAAATAACCAGATTAAATAATAAAAAAACATACACTCATTCATAAAGAAAGAACTTAATTCACTAGAAAATTGCTCTTGAAATGAAAAATATCCGAAATTCATAAATAATTCATCATCATAGTTGGCCAGGCAGCCCAATGTGGATCAATGCGTTCCTCTGAAGATTTCTCCATAATAACTTCTGATGAAATAATTATTATGAAAGGAAAAAATTATTTCAAAAAGGTGAATAAGGCCCTATTAATAAAAAAACAAACAGATATAAAAAGAAAGGTATTGATCATCAATCAACATCATAGCTCTACTCATTATTATCAATAAAATTTTCAGTAAGTTTTCTTAATTTTTATATTGTAATTCATGCAATTTAAAATTACAATAACTTTCTAATAATCTTTATATTTTACATGATTTGGTCATTGTTAACTTGTTATATTTTTTATGATTTGGTCATTGTTATAATTATAAAAAATGTAATCAGGGGTCTGTTTAGAAGAAATTTGGGTCCGTTAACGGACCCTTCACAAAATATCTTTTCGTAAAGACGGACCCTTCACAAAATATCTTTTCGTAAAAACGGACCCTTCACAAAATATTTTAACTTAAAAACGGACCCTTCACAAAATTATTTTTCTTTTAGTTGGACCCTTCACAAATTTGTTTATCTTCAGTATTGTTTTGTTAATCGAATAAACCCTTCCCAGGGTAGGAAACAAGAAAGATAGATGTAAACTAATTAAATATTGTCTTCGGCAGACGATTCTTCCATTATTCGTCCGAAATGAATATTCTGCGTTCAGCAGTATTTTACTTTTTATTGTTAA